CTGTTACACCGTTTAAACCTGATACCAAAAGAGATTATTTTTATCAGCGGTGGAATTGAAAACTAGCAGAATGCTAGTATACCATAATATCGGGTTTGTTTCTAAGTATCAATATTCAATTTTACTAGTATATGGCATTGCGTAACGTTAGAGGGTGCTCCATACTGCTTAAATAAAAAAGCAGCGAATCCCAGTTGTCCCCTACAACGATACGAAACACTATTAGTGCGATCAAATTCCAAGATTCTGTCATCCCTGAACATGAAGTCGAACACAAACCAACGAAAAACTCTCACTCCTTATCGATGGAAGAAAAGCAGTATTTTCAAGCTATAATTAAACATATCATAAGTTTAAAAAGTTTTTACAACACCGACCTTTCAGCTAGTTAAACAATTAACACTATAATCCCAAAGTTGCAAGGGCATTATATTTTTCTTTACGAACCTTAGTTTAAGGACACGTTAATGTACGTGAGTACTGTAAAGTTAAAACTAGATGGTCAAGTTATTTAGCAATATCGAACTTGAAATATGTATTGCAATAAAAGTAGGGAGTTGCCTTGGAAAATTGGAATGGGCCGAGAAGTCAACAAATGGAATATATTTCAAAATTTTGGTATGACGTATCTCAATCCATATAGCGTTAATTTCTATAACCACACAGTTTGTAACTACATTTTCTGCATGTTTTGTAGCAGTCACATATACAAAAATTCAGGCTGGATGTGCTCTGTGGACAGACCGCTGCATTGCATCATGCTAAACAAATGGTGTTTGCCATAAGACAGCAATTCAAATATTTACTTTCAGCTAAAAAACGTTGAATGCAAGCAAAATGAACCATTTTTTGTAACTCCAAATACCATGATTACTTCACAGTGGAATGTTATTGGTGCACAACTGGAGTATGCCGCAGTGTTATTCAACCGTTGAAATGTTTGATAATCAGCAGTTTTTTAAACTGCGGTAGAGCTTGACGATATCGATTTTCGGTGAGGAATGGATTCAGCTATAAAGAGCCGCAAAGACGAATGGTGCAGGTCTGTGAAATCTTTTTATCTTATGGTATATATAGCAGCAGCTTTAGCACACAGTAAGTATACTGCTGCATATTGGCCGTATTTTTGCAACAGCAGCGATAACTGTTAATTGTCCTGTGGAATAGCCAGAAAGGAAACCCAGTGATATTTGAGCTTTATTTGTCAGAAATTCATCGAAGTAGAATTATTAATCGTAATACATCACTGAAAGAAGGACATCTACCTGACATCCGTTTGGCAGTCACTTGACTACCAGACACGAGCCGCCTGTATCTAACCTTTGGATTAAACCCCTCTGCTGTAGAGCCGGAGAGGGCCATTTCACCATCCAAATGAGATCACATATTCTACCTGGTAATCCGTTCTATCCTCAGTCAGTTTGCCGTTATCATGCAAGTCGTTCATTCCTATTGTGATGGTGTAATGCTGACGAACGGCAAAATCTAGTGAAGGTCTGATTATTATCAGTCATCCTTTCTCGCAGTCATCAGTCACTACTAATGAAGATTATAGAGCCACATTGCAACATATTCCTAATATTGATAACCTCGTATGATCCAATCGCAGTTCTGTAAGTCACATAAAATTCGAACTAAATTCGCATAAAACAATACGCAAGATGAAAGATGTTTAAGGATAGAAAATTTTTGCCACTTCATAGCAGCAAATCAATTATTAGGATCGCATCTACTAATCGAATCACCGTCGCTAGTGAAATCATCACGATGATAAGATAATGCTTCGTCATCGATGACGCATTCTATGGCCTGCAACGCAATTCACAATTTAGAACTTGTCGTTTGCGCCTCATAACCAATTGCCGCTAAACCCATCTTATTCAGCCACCTAAAAAACATCTGTTAAATTTATGAGCGAAAACGAACATTTTCGTACGTGATCATATCTTGGGCATGTTCACAGCTGAAATATATTTGGCAGGCAACTCCTTTGACAACGAACACGCTAAATAAACATGGTTATCAACAAAGAATAATTAAAGAATATGCCATGAGGTCCAAAAGTGACATCTGCAACTGTATCACACTCAGCGGATTCCGATGTTTCAGGTGGCGGAGGTAGACAGACGCGTCAGAAAGTGTCCCCATGTGCCTGCTCCTGTACCAGCGTTTCAGCTTTGGCCTAGCCTGAGTCTGGAGCAGTCTTTCGAGACACTTGCATTAAAATGATACGAATGAAGTATCAGAATTATCTGAGAGAAAATGCAACTGTCCTCTAGAGAACTGTTTCTAACTGCATAGATTTATTTAAGGGCTATTTCATTGCTGTCTTTAAGATTTTCGCGCAACGGTTCTCGATGCCATGTTTTACCAGAGCAGTCCACACTGCTTTATGCTCGACAGTGACGAATGCTTTTTCGTAGTTGAAGAAACCTACGCGCAGAAGTGACTGGAATATAAGCTGACTTAAGTAAAAATGCAATAGCCGTTTCAAAATCCTGCCTTTTTTTGGCTGCTGTTCGTAAAAACTTGTTGACTCTCTGATAATGATAATCGTAGAGAACAGCTTGCAAATTAGTGAAAACAGGCACCCTGGGCGCAGCAGGCATATTATTGAGATCTTCCTTCACGCCCTACTTGAAGAACACGATTGTTTTGGACTCCTTCCAGCTCTATGGAATCTTTTCCGTTTCTAAAGCGTCTAGCTACCTGTAATGATCATTTGAGTTATCAGACATTCTCTTCCTGAGACTCTTCCTTCATTCAACTGCTCTGCGGCATGAGGAACTTCGTCCATGAAGATCGGAACTGCACTTCCTTCTGGCTGTCAGAGTGTTCTTGCAGGAGGGGAACGCGTATCTTCGAGACGGAGATGGATGCAAATGCTCGCAGAAAACTGCATCTCACATCAGAGGGATGCTAACGTGCCATCATCACGCCGTGATAATAGATATGG